TGCCCAGCTCCGAGTTATCTTTGAGGTAAGTACAGTATTTCATAGAGGGAAAAGCAGCAGAATGACACATTACTGAGGCCACAAGGAAACAGAGTTCCAACCACCCCACCAAGAGACAGGATCAGACCCGTGCGGCCTGCTCTGTCACATTAGCATTAAAAAAACCCATCCAAACAACAAACCCAAACCCCAAACTGGTGGGCTCTGCACTGCACCACATGTACTGACCACACAGCCCTTCCCTCGCAGGACACCCCCCCACGAGCCCACCAGAGAAAACCCAACACGTTACAAGGGCAGAAAAGCCATTTCAGAAGCCATCAGCAAAGGGTGCGGCTTGCAGGGCAGTTATGGGAGCAGGGAGCAACCCAGGGACTCCTATCTCTTGCCTTTCATCAGGAAATAGCAGCCAGTTTCCTTATTACCAGCTGCCTGGGCAACTCATTTAAGCTTCTTGGGAAACCAGAACAATTAAACTGGGAGTGACTCCCTGGAAACCCGGAAGATGCAGCACACTTGCTTACCCGTATCTGAACAGCTCCTCGAATGAGGTTTAAAGAAGGATGATTTAATGACTTAACCTTTGATTTAATGCCAATGTAGTCAATGCTCTTTGAATCATTCCACGAGTGAACAGTAGCAACAAACACCCCCTTGAGCACAGTAAAGAGCAGTGTTAAAGGCAAACTAAACCAAACTTGCCCCCTAGGCAGGTTCACCTTTGTTTAACCACCAGCAGCGAGGTGGTTGAATGACTTCCCAGCTCAGCAGCCTCCTCACTTTAACTTCAGCACACAGCAATCAGCAGTCAGCTCTTTTGGAATCAGAATACCATTTTGCATAATTCCTGACACAGGCCAAGAATCCCATTGCAGATCTTTGGGCTCTTCCTGTTTGCTTGTACCTGGGAGGCGATGCAGCCAGAGGGCTTTTGGGCATTGAATGACAGTTTCTACATCTGAACTCCCTCTTAACAACAGACGCAGGTTGTTCTGGCCTCTCCCATTCTGAAACACTGTTTTGCTGCTTGTTAATGAAAGCGGAGCAGTTCATCAGTAAGCCAGTGAAACGGATAAGGAGAAACACATTTCATGCCCTCGGTTAGACATGTGTATTAGGGGAGTCACAGCAAGCTCAAAGAGTTTTTCAGTATAATCCTTTCAGAAATGAGCTTGCAGAAGCATATGCAAATACTCACCCTCATTACATGTTAGCAGGGTGTTCACAGGGCAGGTGATCGCTTCACTCCGTGCTCTGAAGGTTACAGCAAATCCTCCCTCCACTAAACCCTCGCCTGGACCCCCCGACAAGGGGATAGCCCAGCAGGAAGCCCTCCTGTTTCCCAACTCCACGCTGCAATCTGCAGAAGGCTGAGCCAGGTACTTGCTGGTTTTATTTCCTCTTTTCAAAAAAATAAAAAATTACAGAAACCCCCCCTAGAATTTAAACCCTAGAATTTAAATCTCGGAAGAGCCATTTCAGTTCTCTTCCATGTAATTACATTGCACCTTGAAGCTGCTGATTATAAAGTATGGGCTGCCCAGGGAAGCTGTGAATGCTCCATCCCTGGCGGTGTTCAAGGCCAGGTTGAACAGAGCCTTGGGTGACATGGTTTAGTGTGAGGTGTCCCTGCCCATGGCAGGAGGGGTGGAACTGGATGATCTTAAGGTCCTTTCCAACCCTATTCTATGATTCTATTTTTTAACCATGTGCTTCAAAGAAAATAGAATTCCTGTCACCTCCAAGGAGCACACCCAATCACCACTTATTTTTACACCTGCAATCAATCAATTTTGTTCACTTTGTTTGTGCTTGATTATCAGGGAAACATGCACAGTATTTGTGCTTGCAGTTAGCACTGCCTGCAGCAAGAGGGAGGCTGATCCTGACAAATAACGAAGCCCCAAAGCACAGGTGGGAAGGACTTGTGGAACAACATTAAGCCATCATCAAGTATTAATGACAAGTATCTTTTAACACGAACAGGCAGCTGGGTGAGTTCAGAGGGAGCTGCTTTAACAAGAAACACGGATGACACTGGGGTGGAGGTGAGAAACTACAAGCAGTGACAGGGAGCAGGAGGTTTTCCGATGGTTTTCATTGAGCCGAGGGAAGCCTGGAACTGGATGATGTGCCCCGACATAGCCTGTGGTAGTGCCATAGCTCAGCCTGGCCCAGAGCACTGTGACCTTTCTAACTGGGCTTACATCAGCCCCGTTCATGCCCGATGGTGCAGAGGGACACAGCCCCGTGCTTACGTCTCATGCAGCCTTCAGAGGACACTGTTGGTGAGGCACAATTCACAGGGCAGAGAACTAGGGCAAGCTGCTGCCCCACCTGCCCTCAGCCTGCGGGTGCTTCTCTGAATTAGGCTGGCAGCACAGCCAGCTTTCTGCTTTGCTCCCTATTTACAGGGTACCTGTGAAGGCAGAGATTTAGCCATTGCCACAGAACAGTCTAAAATAAGTATCACCTCAAAGTCATCTTTGATGTTTAACCAAACATCAGTTGTTACCAGGGCTGTTACTTCCGTGTGATTTTTAGTCACTCCAAGGGAAAAAAAGCACAATAATCAGTGTCTAAACATAATCAGCTAAAAACAGTGATGATCTATACTGAGACTGTTTCCCACGCAGCACAGCTCACTTTGGGTTTTAATCTAACACACTTTGAACTAGATGACTGTGTCCTATGTGTAACTGAAAATAAGTACAACAAAAGCAAACTTTGGATTGAGGGAGCAAAATACATGTTTGCAAATTAAATCTTAAAGGCTCTGGGACTTCCTCTAAAGCTACAAAATGCAGCTGCAGATGGACCTTGCAGATTCACACTCGCTGTAGAATGCTCGGGACAACAAATTTCCCAGGGTAACTGCCGAGCTCAAGCTACAGGAATCGAAACAACCCAACTGAAATAAACACCAGGGAAGAGTTAATTGTTTATTCAAGCAAACATGAAACTGTCCATTTGCAAATCTCATTAGGTTTGCATAACCTTCAGTTCTATTGGCTTTTTTATCTTTTACCACTTCGTCTTATCTCCCAGCATCCAAACAGGCAGAAGTGAGTAGAATGACCAGTCCCTTCTTTGAATAGTGTTAGAAAGCTTCAAAGTAACAGCATAGCTTATTGGGATGGACACATACAAGAGGAGTTGCAGAACAATATATATATATATTTTTTGCACTGTATGTAAACATATGTTGAAATAAAGGTGGGAGAAAGCTTTCAATTTTTCAGGTGATTTTTCAGTAGGCAAGGAGGCCTACTGAAGGAGATATTATAAGACAGTTTATTGACTTGAGGTCTAGGAAGAGTTTAACTATTGTTGCAGTCTCCTCATTTCAATCTGACAGCACACAGGAACCTCAGCACAGCAAAAATAACATTCACTGTCATGAAAGGCTTTAAGACTCTACCAGGACTGCGTGAAGTAAATGCCAGTGTCCCTAAGGTGAACAGCAGATTGGAGGGTAAAAAGCACCAGAACTGGAGAAAGGAGCAAACAAACGGCTTTCACTGCGCCAAGAATCCTGATGAAAAATGAAACAAGCAGCTGTGAACCGCTGAATGACCTCCGAAAGTGCAAAACTGGAGTTCCAGAACACGGGAAAAAGTGAAGGATTGAATGAAACCGCGAGTTTTGGGGATGTGCCTTGTGCTAGAACCAGCTCTGTGCTGCGCTCTTGTCAAAGACTGCAGTTAGGCCAAAAAATGACAAAGGTGCTAGGGCCATGATTTAAGAAATTCTGTTCATCTTTCAAAAAGAGCAGGAACAAACAAACAGCCGCTGTGCTTCTGGCTGCTGTGTGTGGCCTCGCAGCACTCGCTCTGAGCTTCGGACACTTAGATTTCCTCTAAGATTCCTCAGCAGCTCTGTTCCAAGGTGTCCATGTTAAAGCCTCCCCATTAATTCAGTCACGTTGTTTGGAGTTAAATATGAAGCATAGAGGAAAAACTTTACAAACCTCACACGCAACTGAGATGGAAACTGTAAGGGATGTGTCTTAGGCAGACGGCTGCGCTGCATGACTGCTGAACTCCTTTCCACCTCCACTGAAACACATTTATATGCTGTTGATGTTCAATGAAAACGGCTGGAGATGGATGAGCAAACGGTCAGATGAAAGATACCAAAATGTCAGACAGCCTACCGACTGTTGTTGCCATGAGATCCAACAGTCAACATCAGTCTGATAAGCTATCCGACAGGATGGTACGGCCATGGAGATGTCACGACGGTTGGCAACACAAGAGGACATTCAGGTGGGATTGAACAAAATACATGTTTCTCACCCCTTGCTCGAGATCTGACCTAACGTGCTGTGGAGCTAAACCCAACCTGAGCAGGAGCAAGCTCATCTGCCACCTTTTGATAACATTAACTGAAAGTAAAATTAATTCTTGTTACTTACCCCTAGGATAAAAATAAAAAACAACAGTTCAAAAAGTATTAAAGTAATGAGATGAGTACAGCAGCAGTGGGATGGATGTCTACTTACTAAGGAGGGAAAGATCCATTTTAACATTAGTTATGTCCGTGTACATTAGAACTGGAACACACACTGATTCCGAACAATGATGTCAGGATATCTGACTCCAGAAGCCTAAGGTTAAGGCTCTCTGCACCGTTGCTGGGTTTGATATCTGTTTCCAGTTGGAATCTTTACTTTTCCTCCCTCACTTCTCCTTCATTAGCCACGGTGCTGTGATTGGTGGCAAACATCTGAGAACTTAGGGTACCAAGTCCTGCTACTTAACGTGTGCTTTAACCAGTGAGCCGTGCTTCAAGCAAGTGAAAGCCTTTCTATGTCCTTCTGCTAAGTGAGAAGTTCTTAGGAAAAAGGGAAAAACCAAAACAGAACGAAGGGCTTCAGCACCATTTGTGCAGGCAGGGCGAGGAGAGCATGCAGTGCGTGGGATTAAGGCTCAATAAAGAAACCGAGCATACCGAAGTGGAGAGGGAAAGAAACAGCTTCAAAAGACTGACACAAGAAATTCTGGAACGCTCCAAGGTGACTTTATAAAGTTTTATCTTAACGTCGTTCTAAATATACAGAATAAAAAATGTCAGCTTCAGCATTTTGACATCAATCATCTCCGCTAACACCATGAAGGTAAGAGGGGGGCTTTTCCAACCGAGAGCACGTGCAATGCAGCGGGACACGGGGGGGTTCAGCTGAAACAGCCTTACCACGAGGGACATGCAACGGTTTGTATCCAACCTGTATTCATTTATATACATTTTGACGGTCTTGAAAGTTAAGGAAAAAGCAAACCAGCCACCCTTCAAAATCAAAAGTTAAACCTTAGGTCAGCCTGAAGTTAAATCAGGGAATGGAGGGTATTAAATCATCAGGTCTGGAAATAATCTGGATGGACATCAGTGTTAAACACCACTTAACATCACACTGTCCACCCCGTGTAATACAGCTCAGACTCGTAAAGTGTTTGTATCTTACCTTAACGTTTATAAGTTTGTCAATGAAACGTTTGCTCTAATATCCAAATTGCTTTCAAAATTAAACAAAAACTCGTTATAGTTGAAAATGGATGTTAAAAACTTTTCCCCCATTTTGAATAATGCTGATTTTTAAACACAGGCAAAGATGTGTCAATTTTCATGTCTGCTAAAACCCATTCTGGGCTTTTCTTTCCAAGCTCATTTGGTTTTTTCTTCAGAGTACATCTTCTGTTGCAGTCGCTTGGCATAGCTTTGGGCCATGGAGTTGATTATAGATAAGATAAAATAACAAACCATGACAATCACCAATTTTTCAAACATCCAGGATAGCCAGTTTTCCCCCTGAAGAGCCAAAACAGAAGGAGGAAAATAAAGATTAGTGGCAAAGCTCAATGGAGAAGTCTCCATTTTCTGGGCAAAGGGAAAACCCTGACCCTAACCAATGTTTTATTATTTAATTCATCAAATTAAACCCAGGACCCAAGTGCAAGCTGACAGGATTCCCGCAGGTCCCTCTATAAAGCTGACTTTAGTCCCCTGAAAGACAATGCAGGCGGGCTTGCCAAAGACACTGCAGGGCAGATGACTAATCCCTGATCATTACTAGTGCCCTCATGAAGTGATTTATTATTCCTAGTATTGTTTTGTCTTTGCTAACAGTTCATAGAGCTCAGAATCGGCAACTCCTGACTGTCATTCCCTGTCGTGGCCATTGCAAAGAAACCAATCAGGTCTTTGGTTAATACTGGGTTTTTCCTAAACTGCATATGCTGTGTTCTCTTCCAATCAGGGTCTGATTCTTCAGGTGTCCCTGGAAGTTACTGCCATGACCCCAAAGTCCCACTTCCAGCGTTTTCCATGGCTGTCCTTGTATTGGTTTTGTCAAAGGAGGGCAGCAATGCACTCCATACAAATCACTTCAAGGCGCCTAAAAGGAATCTGCATATTCAGTTATTCCGGCCTGACCCTCCCTAATTTAACCTCTTCTGTGGTAAGAAATGGGCAAAGAAACACTTATGAGAGCTACAGGGAAGAGATGTGAACTGTGAATTAATGGATTTTATCTCAAAATGCCTCAGTATCCTGAGGAATTTCAAGTCAGAGGTGCTCTGATCCCACGAAAAATTCCAGGAATGCTTTCCAACATAACTTTTTATGAATTTGGTGGTTTGGGTTTCTTTGGTTTTATTTTTTCCATACTCCCCCCCCCCGCCTGTATGAAAGGACACTTCTGCCCCTTTGTCCTGGCTCTAAACACCCGATTTTTGTTCCCCTTTCAGACACTAAAGGTGTGGGGATTTGGTTTCTCTTATTGGCCATCAAGCCACAGATCCCACTGGCTTCTGCAGTACCGGGGCCGAAGTTTGTTGCAACTTTTTTGCTGCTTAAACTTATCTTTCCCAACAGGCAGCTGAGATAAGGCAGAAATGCGCCTGGTCTTGTTTTACTGTCTTCTTTTTGCCTCCAAGAGCTTTAAGTCCAGTTGCACGCAACTACAGCAATAGCTTTAATTCCCAGGTTGCTTCTAAAATGAGATTTTAGCTATTCCCTGGGCCACTGCCAGGCTTTGAAAACAAGGCTCAAGAGTTCCATCAGTAAACCTGACAAGTCAAAAGCCAGCCAGAGAAGGGAAAACATTATATGGGGAGGGAGGGAGGCAGGGAGGTTCTTACCTGGGGCACTCCAGTGTCAGCTCTGTGGTGAAGTTTTATCCTCTGAGCTTCCAAATATTCTTGAAATGGCTTCTGAAGAGAAGGACCTACACTTGGAATAGCACTGATGCAGGGTTCATCCCAGAGAACAGGACAAAACAGGGAGAAAAAAACAAAAACAGAAAAACAAAACCATTTTTTTTTTCTTTTGGGTTTTTCTTTCTTTTTCTTAAACTTACCACTCTGACCCAACCAGAACAAAGTTCAGTCTGAGCTAGAGCTCAGAGGGGCATTGCTACGGGAGAAAAGAGATAACCACGCAGTGAAGCGCGCTGCATCTTTTTGATGCATCTGAAAGGGAAGCATTTCCCCAGGTCTTCAAAAAGGGCTTTAAAAGAAAAAGCTTTCAGAGCAAAGCAGTGACAAGGCACTGCTGGTTACACAGAACGCTGCTGCGAACGAGAGCATTTCCTTATAGCCAGGGAGAGGCCAGCTGAGGCTGTGCACTGCTGCGGTGCTGAGAATCAAATGAATGACTTCTGAGAAGTCCCACATTTATCACCAGCAGTTCCTGTAAGAACTGGTTTGAACCGATTAATAAGGAAATGACTTGTGCTTGTGTCATCCCCCAGTTAAAAAAGAAACTGCTCGCCCTATGACTTGCCCCTATCTTCTCCGAGGAGACGGCCCCTTTCTCAAACTAAGTCCTTATTAGGACAATCTGTGCGTCATCCTTACCCAAAAAGAATGCATTAGCAAATTCTGCAGGCACCTCCCACAAGTCAGTGATTAACAAAGGAACAAAGAAGGAACTATGAACCCTGTTCTGAATCATGCCACGGTTTATGGCAGATGACTTGCACAAAAGCTACAATATGTTACCGAACACCTTGTCCTTGCATTAACGTTGGAAAGATCACAGATACATGTTTGGAACCAGAAGCCCTCTCCTGCCCCTGTTGCAGTAAGGTGCTCCCACCGACAGCCTTGCAGCAGCCTCCAACCTCCATCCTGCACACACCAGAGCCTGCCCAGGCTCCACCAACCCCAACCTCTGTGCCCTCCCTGAAATCTACACACGGGGCTCTTTAGCAAGTCCAAGGAGCCTTAGTAATTGTCAGGACACTTTAAAGAGCCCCAGGCAGAAGAAAGGAGCACAAGCAACACCACGAGCTGAGCTGAGCTGAGCTGAGCTGGTGAGAACTGTTAAAATTGACAGTTTAGTTATAAGGAAATCGATTTGGTCCTCTACATTCAAACGAAAGCAGAAGGCTCTCTTAATTTCCACATTTCAACCCTTCAGTTTTGAATCCCTACACAACTACTTCAGGGAGGACTGAGTGAAACACTTCAAACACCAAGATGCACACAGTTTTACACACTCATCTCCTCTGCCAGTGACTGCAGGATCACTACAGTCAGAATCATTCCTCAGCCTCCTGACACAATCTTCCCTTTTCCAGGTGAAAGCCCAGTTAAAGCCCCACAGCTCCCCACTCTTAAGAATGCACGAAAAGGTACACACTGAAGCAACACCATGGCTCACCCTCCTCCACTACCTCTATTTCCTTCACTAGCCAGAGGCAAAGAATTTCTGTGAACATATTTACAAGGAGAACGATTTACAGTCGCTTCCCTCATGATTCACCATCACGATGGTACAAATGGGTGAGGAAATTCCGTGCCTGCACTGGTGAAAACGCAGGGGAAAAAACCCCACCAAAACCCAAGCAGAGACCAAAGCCTGTCCAGTGCCTGCTTTGCACAAGAGTACATCAACTTTGACAAAGGATTCCTGGTTTGTCAGCACCATCCCCTGTGAAGCCCAGCGTTCCGGGTGAAACCTCTCCCAGTGACTCGCTCATCACTCGGAGTCACAGTTTTAAGGGTTACACTTCGAGGCTTCTTTTCTTTTCCAGATGCCACTTGGATGCTCGGAAAAGCGACTGAAAGGGAACAGTTTTAGCCTTCTGCAGGGTTATGAAATGAGGACTCTATTTAAATGATGAGAGATGAATGATTAACAGAATGCTTGGTTGCTCAAATGATTTCTGAGAGCCGAAGCACATCGGTGCCCAGTTCACACTCAGCAGCCGAACAAAGCTATGAAACCCAAGCGCCAAGAGCGTGAGGAGATCCTGGGCACCAACACCCAATTTCACCATTTTTTTCACTAAAAATATTCAGCTTTTTTTCCTTTTCCCCTTTTGTGAGCATAACTGAGAACCAAGCACACAGCAGGCATCTGAATAAAGCTGTTTTGAAGACCTGCAAGATCCTGACTGCAAGGACCGTGGCTTCTCAAACTGCAGTATTCTGCATAGCCACAGAGACTTTAATGCTGAAAAAAAGGGGCATAAATGTGACTAAGGAGTCAAATGAAGCAGACCAACGTCTGGGAAATAATGAATCCACAGCATGAGGGATGCAATTCCTGAAATCCCATCTCAGTGGGACAGTGTCGGTCGCTTGTACTCTTTTGACGAGAGTCAGTAATTTAACCAACCAGCTAAGGTATGTGTACCTCATATCCAAAGCGCAGACATAATCTTACATCTTAAAAATCATAACCTCACATCTAATCTTAGACTTAAGAGCTAAGCCTTAAAAATCAGTTTTCATTTTACTTAATTACAAACCAGGCAGTGTTTTTTCCCCTGCAGACCTAGTGAAATTCAACTCAACCCCGTTCTTACCGAAGGAGGAGGGGGAAGACTTGTGTGCACAACTTCAGGGGTTACACTCAAGCCAGATACAAGTACATTGGCAGAAGGGACAGATTTGCATTGTAATTCTGTGTGGCTTCACAAGGACTTACAGACAGACCTTCAAAAGCCAGTTTCAGGAGTCAAGATGCAAACCACAAGCCCATTTACACATCCGACTTCAGAAGGGAAGATGCAGGAAGATAACCCTGTTTGTTGAACTATCTCAAACGGATTCCTTGCATTTTCCTTTGAGAATCAAGCCTATTGTCTTTCAAATAGGGAATATGAAAGGGTAAGAAAATGAAAGGCCGTTAGTGCACAAAAGAACCTTGCTCATGCACTCTGGGGGCTCTATCTGCCAAAACAAAACACACAAGAAAAGCCCCAAACACACAACCTGCTGCCCCTTCTTACAGGTCTGGGCAAGCTGCTTAAGGACTTGAGCTTTACAAGAGGAAAACATAAATAAGAGGTCATTCACTACAAGTTGTTGGTCAAAATAAGCCACGACGTTGGTGGCACTGGTGGCTACTATTGCTATTAATGAATTCTGCACCTAATCAGCAACAAGGATGCACTCCTAAAAGGAGCAGTGCTGCTCTTGTGCCCTTCCAGCACAATTCACTTGAAAAGAAAGAGGCTTGCTGCAGTTTTAGCAGGAGATTCAGACAGAATTGCTTGGGATTGTTGCCTGGGGGGGAACTCTGAAGAAATCCTGATTCGGAGGAAATTTCTGACACAGCAACCATTAAACCACCAGATTTTGTCTGAGTTCATTCTGCTCCTCTGCTGCAATCGAACGCTTCACAAGGGATTGAAACAAAACAGGCTTCCAAGAAACTGCACTAGCTTTTGGTCCAGCCTCAGTTCAGTAAAATCATCACATTGCAGTAAAACCCAGTACCTGTGCTCTAATACTGCAACACAAACACCCATTAAGAACTCAGCTTCACTGAACAAGCCACTGCTGAAGCCTGTTTCAGAGTTACCTGGTATCTGTAATTAAACGGATGCAGCTGATTGCTTCTGATTGCAAGCCATGATTTCTATTCAAATGAAAAATTATATTGCTTCCCCTCCCCAGTAACCCCAAATTTTGCATCTCTCTGAAGCACCACACACAGGGATCCGGCCAAGCTGCTCCAGGATCCGTTTAAGAGTTACACCCTCCATGTACAGATCGTGCGAGTTTGACTCCTAAGGCTTCCATTCCGGTTACAGCGAAGCTGTGTTTTTTAAGACACACCACAGTTGATTCAGTTGCTTTTCAAAGGATGACCGAGCCCCCTCACGAAGTCTCCAGCCAGGAAAAGGCAGGAGGGATTTGGGGAAACCTGGTTTTTAATGGAATCTTTGGAACTACGGGCAGGAGCTTTCTCACACACCTGGGGGTGAAGCCCCAGACAGGGAGGGAACAAACCAAGTATTTCCCTGTGTCAGTGCATCAAGAAGGAGGAAGTTATTCAACACATTCCATGGCATTTTTACTACTTCTTTAGAATGATTCTGTCCTGATATTGCCCTTCTGAAAGGCACGGTTTTAATCTCACCGGATCCTTAGGAGCAGGTTACTCCCAAGCTATTGAAATTTCATAACCTTTGCTTTCCAAATTGTGAGTGCTCAGGTAACTAGTGACAGGCTGTGCTAAATGCTGCAGCACGGATCTCTAGCAAATGCTGCAGTTTAGTGTCACTGCAGTAACCCTGTACTATGAAATCTATCAGTCCACGATTTAGGATATAAAGTTCCCATCTTACAAACACACACTTGTGCCCTTGCCTGCTTTTCCAGAGGGAAATGTTCGATCTAGCAAGCATTTCCAAGGAGCACCGAAGCTGCCGTTGCAGACTCAGCTCTTAGGAACATAAATACGATGGGGTTCACTGCTAATTAAAGTTTCTCATTTGTAAAAGGCCTTTTGGAGCAAGTGGTGATTAAGCAGCTCAGTAACTCTGAGAAGTTCTTAAAGTCCACTTATTTTAATGAAAATAAAAACGTAAATACCAACTTCAGGAGCATCCAGTTCTGAGCTTCATACATACTCAGCGGTACCACTGGAACCAGTCCATTGATCAGGAAACGTTAAGCACAGCAGGTTTAAAAGCACGGAGGTTGTTTTACCATGGAAATAGTAGCGTGAAGGGAAATGAGCAGCAGAGGCATCGAAGAGATGGTGCAAACAAGCCGCCAGGCTGAAGCGCAGCGAAGCCCTGCTTGGGAAGGTGATGCAATATTGAGTCAGAGCCCCATTTTATGGATGATCTCTGGAACAGCCACAGCTGTTAATTTGGGAAAAACCCCAACGTTTAACTGTTAACACGGGGACTGGTGCTCTTGGACCGCCTGGCTCTGTCCTTGTCTGGACCCTCCCTGGATCTGGGAACAAACAGCATCGTGCGTATTTTGCTCAGATTC